CTAGTCTAGGCATCTGGTGTGGAGGTAGGCCTTGCAGTCCTCGCTCGTTCGCCGCGGTGGTGATGTGGGACCGGGTCTGGCGCCGTCTTTTTGGTCGTGTCAGTGTCCCTGGCGTTGTGTATAGTGACGAAGTAGACGCGGCGGCGCAGCTGCGGCAGCAGCGGGAGGCGTCTGCGTGGCGTGGCAACCTGCGCAATGTGCGTCTGGACACCGCGCCGGCGCTGCTGTTGCGCACGAGTGGCGTCGATCAGTCGATTCCAGGGCCGGAGGAAGATCCGTATACCTTTTGGGAGCGTATTGGCATCGTGCCTGTGCATCCCTCCCGCGTGCGACCGCGGCAGTACTATCACCCCATCACAGACTTTGGACTTTACGACTATGACGAAGTGTCGCCGGAGGAGCGAGATCTGACGGCGGGGTGGATGGCAAAAGTGTTGGAGTTTAACGGCGCGGTACCGCTTGGCATCGTGTGCGCCGTCGGCTGTGTTGTGTTGCCCTTGCACACCGTGTATCGTATGCCGCTGCTCGTGGCGGCAGGAGCGTCGGGAGTGATGGTTGAAATCACCCGGGCGTACATGTCTGCCGCAAAGGAGCGGCAGGACCTCGATGACTTTATCCTCGCAAAGGAGATATGGTACATTAAGAACGTCGAGGCCTACCAGCTTGGTATCCCGCGTATTCCAAAGGGACGCGAGGCAGAGTACCACTCCTACATGGACGGCACCGTTTCGTCGGCGCAGGTGCTTCCAGATGAATTGATCGACGCACTTCACTGATGGCGGAGCGCCAATCGGCCTGTGTTGTGGTCTGCTGATGAAATATGCATTGCCGTGAACGCCTTTGCCTTTATGTTTCTGTGGTGTATTTTTCTGGCTGCAGGTGTTTTTGCGTATGTTTTTTTTTCATTTTTCTGCTTCTCTGATCACTTTCATTTCTTGGGGGCCTCTCGCCATTGCTTTTCCTTTTAAATTTTTGGGTCTTGCTCCTCCGCTGAGTCGTGTCGGTGGGTTGTGGTGAAGCCTGGGGCCATGAGCGATGCCAGAGCTGCACCTTACCGCTTCTGTGGCTCGAAGTTGGTGCCGTGGAGTGCCCTCGATGTGAGGGTGACTAGCCGCCTTGTCATTCTGGTGATGTGTGGCTCCTTCAACCCCATTCATCGGGCACACATTGCCATGTTCGATGCAGCCCGCGAGGCCTTGATGCCTCCCAAAGAGGCCACCGACGTTTCTCCCACCGTCGTCGTTGCGGGCGGCTTCATCTCGCCGGCGAACGACGACTACGGAAAGGGAAACCTTCGTCCTTTTGCGCAGCGTGCAGCGATATGCAGGGCGGCGCTGGCCGATCATACTTCCCTGGCTCTTGACGAGTGGGAGGGGTTGCAGCCCACGTACGTTCGAACGTTTTACGTCTTGGAGCACCTTCAGAAGGCTGCGCAGCGGTGGTACGAAACCGACGCGGCGCCCAATAAAGCACAGTTGGAATGGGTGCGGCAACATCCCCTGCAAGTGGTGTTTCTTTGCGGGAGTGATTTGTTTGCGACCTTTTTTCAGCCGGGCTGCTGGGCATTGGGGTTGCTTAGGCGGCTGCTGGAATCTTTTGGGGTGGTGGTCACGCGACGTGCGGGGTCCGCCGCGGGCTGCGCGGAGATGCTGCGTCGGCACGGTTCGCTGCTGCAGGGGCGCGTTGAGGACACCGAAGGCGGCCGTGGCACGACACCCATGACGCTCGATCTCTCCAAGTACCGCTTCACGGAGGTGGAAATATTCACGAACAATATTTCTTCCTCCGCCATCCGCGAGGCACTGGCGGCAGATCCCAGCGCTGAGCTAAGCAGCCTTGTCCCCGCTGGGGCGGAGTCACTCATTCGTGCCTTCTACACAAAAGATGCACAACTTTCTTGAGGATTTAGCTATTGGCATTGCTGGTTTAAGTAACACGCGTGTGTGTGTGTGCGTATGTTTGCGCGTTTCTTCTTTGATGGTGTCCGTCGTGTGTGTGTGGAGTGAAAGGTGAGAGGTGGAGAGACGCAGTTGGCCCTTTGCTTTGTTCTCTCTCTCTCCTCCCCCCTCCCCCACCCCTTTCCTGGCACGCAAAACAAGGCACACCCACCAAAAGAAGTCGGCAGTTCAAACGGAACAGGACAGGAGGAAACCCAGAAGGAGTTGTTTGCATTTATATTTATGCTGGTGCTGGGGGGACGTGTGGTGCGGAGCTGCAAGTGGCGATGCCGCATGGGAGGAAGTCACACGGGCGACTGATGCTTCTCATTGGCATCCTGGTCCTTTTGGTGACAGTCTGTGCAATGCTGGCGTTGCGGCCTTGTAGCGATCACCGAAAGAACTCGGGTGATGCAAAGGGCGGGAACGAGGTGCATAATTTTTTTGTCTCAGCAGGTGGGTTTCGTTGCCAACAGGCGGCGTACTTTGCAAGGGAGGAGGTTGCGCGTCACGCGTCGGAGTCTGACCTCTGGCTGGTGATCGATGGAAATGTGTTGGATGTGAGTTTGTTCGTGCGACAGCACCCGGGTGGGCTGCTGATCATGGAGGGCGCAGGCGGCCGTGACGCGGCGGCGCTCTTCTCCGAGTTCCATTTGCCATCGACGGTAAAGCTCTTTGAGAAGTACTGCATTGGGCGTTTGAAGGAGTAGATGGGGTGGCACGCACGGCGCCCTCGCGGTGGTGATGTTCTTCTTTACCGCACCCCGTTGCTTTTCTCGGCTTGCTCATGATGTATGTGTCTGCCTCCCTCGCCTTCCGCCCCAACTACTTTCTTTTTTCTCTGTCTCTTACGGTTGCTGCTGCTGCCAGCGCTGTCACGCCGCGTTTTCAGGCACGTTCACGTCTTTTGAGGAACAACGCAGTGCCACAGCAGTTGCTTGCCTCGTCCGCGCTTTCATTCACTTCCTTTCTCTCTATCTCTCTCGCCGTCTGTGTATGTGTATGTGTTATCCGTTGGAGTGGAACTACGCATGCGTGGCGAGGCGGGCGCGTTGCCCGCATGGACTAACATGGCGTGCATCGGTCAGTGCTACCCGCACCAGCACCATTTTCCCGGCTCTGTGGAGGAGGTTGTGGCGTTGATGCGGCGGCTGCGGCAGACGGGTGAGCGATGTCGCGTTGCCCGGTGCGCGAAGAGCCCGAATTCCTGCACCTTCACCGATGCCCACCTCATCCACACAGACCGCCTCAACCGCATCCTTTCCGTGGATGTCGAGCGGCAGCGAATTGTCTGTGAAGGCGGGGCGTTGCTGCGGGACGTCTTTGAGAAGTTGAGTGAACACGACCTCATGCTTCGGTGCGTGCCGTCGTACGTGCTCACGACGGTTGCCGGAGCCATCGCTACGGCGACGCACGGCAGTGGCAGCAAAACGCGAAGCCTCTCCGACTACGTTGTTAGCATCGTGCTGGTTGACGGCAGCGGTGAACTTCACACGTTTGATGCCTCAACTCCCAAGGAGCTTTCCCTGGCGGCCTGCCACCTCGGCATGCTTGGCGTGGTGGTGCAGGTGACGTTGCAAGCAGAGAGGAAGCGCATGTGGCGCCTCCGCAGCTCCCCTGTCCCACTCCACACGTTAACGGAGGGAGCGACGCTCGAGCGACGCGTCTCCGACTCTGCGTTTTATCGCTTCTTTTGGATGCCCAACACGGACTCTTGCTACGAGTCCATCGGCACATGCGTGGAGGCGGCTGCGACGGGGCCTGCGAAGGAGGCTGTTCTCTGTGCCACAACGACTCCCGCATCCGCATCGCGGAGACTAACTCAGCTGTTGAAGGCTGCGCAGCACCCACGCGGGGCACCCTTGAACTACCAAGACTGGCTGGAGCTGCAGAAGCATCCACGCACCCGGCTCTGTAAGGCTCTCAAGGGAAATTGGCTACGACACGGTGTGGTTGAAGCGGCCCTCGCTGCCGCGACTGCATTCCCACGGATACAGCCATACATCAACCGCGCCTACAACAAAGTCTACTACTCTGCGCCAGAGGTGCTGTATGGAACTCCACTTGAGTGTTTCACGTTTGACTGCCTCTTTAAGCAATGGGCGTGCGAATGGGCCATTGATGCCAGCAAAGCCATTGAGGCATTTCGAGTGCTTCGTGAACTTATTGCGTCGGAGCACCTGAGCGTACATTTTCCCGTTGAATTCCGTTTTACAGACGCCGATAAAACTGCACTTTCACCCGCGTTTGGTCGAAAGACATGCTGGATTGGTATCGTCATGTATCGGCCATATCTGCGCTACGCAAGGGACACGATGCGGTACTATCAGGCATTCAGCGATGCCATGACGGCGCTGGGCGGCAGGCCACACTGGGCGAAGTACTACACCTGGGGACCGTCACAGTTAAAAGAGGCATACGGGCAGAACTGGGAAGACTTTTTGCGGCTCCGCCAGAAACTTGATCCCGGCGATTTGTTTGTAAATGGCTGGTGGAAGAGTTTGAGCGGGCAGGGGCCGGTGTTCAACAGCACCATCAGTCGTTTGTGAGTTCGACCCGGTGGCTGCGTTCTTTGCACGGCGGTTGCGTTCGCCCGTTACTAAAACCGCATGGGCCTCTGCGCGTGGGGCGCGGCTCAGTCCACCCGCAACGCCCCACGCTGCCAACGCAACAGCAGCGATACGAAGAAAATGAGGACACGCCATTTGTGGTTGCCTATTTGCAGGACTGCTCCCTCGTCGTGGCGTGTGGTGGGTGGGGGGCGCGGCAGCGTCCTACGCAGCGCTAGACGAAAGAAGGAGGACCGAAATGAAAGGAGAAAAACGAACAAAGAAAAAAGAAAAGGAAAAAGAAATTGGAACTACCTTTTGCGCGTGCTGCACCGCAAAAAAAAAAGTGACTGAAATTGTCCGTAGTATTTTTTTTGTTAAACGCCTTTTCATACCGCCGTTCGCTTTCTGTGTTTTTTTCTTTCTTTTTCTTTCATTGGCCCTTCTTCTCTCCCTCCCGCTGTGCGGAAATGCGTCGGCACACCCCCCTCTGTCTTTGCTGTGTTTTTTTTTGTCTCATTTTCTCATGTCTTTCTCTCCCCCCTTTTTTTTTACTATTTTTTTCCTCCTCTTTGCTGCCTGCTTTGGCCGCTGGGAGGGTGCCGTCGGTGTGCTGGGATTCGTGGCAGAGGGGCGGGCGACAAATGGCGGAGCCGGCGTTTCGAGGCACGCTGCTTTTGCTGCAGAACTGCACCCGCCGTGACCCGGAGGCGTACCGCGACGAGTTTATCTCGCAGCTCGACCACTTCAAGGCCCTCAGCCAAACCATCATGACGCAGAAGACGCCCAACCCGCAGTACGTCGCGGTGCTGAACTACGTGTGCCACGTGGGCCACTGCTACCCCGCAGAGTGCGCGGAGGTGGCGGAGGTGGTGCTGCGGCTGCTGCGGGAGTACAAGGGGGCCGCCATGGCGCCCGAGTTGCGGCTGGCCCTCGTCAAGTCCCTCGCACTCCTGCGATCTAAAAACATCGTCTCCGCTGAGCACTCGTTTCCGCTGTTTTTCCAGCTTCTGCAAGAGCGTGAGAAGAACCTCCGCCGGCTCATCCTCTCCCACATTGTGAGCGACGTACGCAAGGTGAATATGCCTGGCGCCAAGAACGGGGCCCAGGTGAACAAGATGGCGCAAAACTTTCTCTTTTCCGTCATGGCGGAAGATGACCCGGTGCAGGCGCGCTGCGCAGAGATGGTGATGATCGACTTGTACCGCCGCCGGGTCTGGGCAAACGAGCGGACGGTGGAGGTGCTGACGCAAGCCTGTTTCACGCGGCACACTCCCATCCTTCGCACCGCCCTTCGCTTCTTCCTGCTGCAGATGCCGAAGATCACTTCCCTCGACGACGCCGGCGATGAGAGCGACGGTGAGGCGGCGGACCCCGGGCGTGAGATCTCCCGCATGAAGCAGAAACTGAAGATTGTCAAGAAGACGGGCAAGCGAGAGCGCATTCTCAAGCGAGACGTGAACACGATAAAGCGGAAGTACAACAAGGAGGAGAAGGCGGAGGAGGTGCTGGCAAAGCAACACGTAGACCCCATACGACTTCTTCGCAATCCACACCAGTTTGTGGAACGTCTGCTTGCACGCCTGCAAAAGACCACGGAGCGCTTTGAGGTTCGAATTCTCTACCTGAACGTTATTGCCCGCGTCATCTCGGAGCATGAGGTGGTGCATCTCCCACTCTACGGTTTTCTTGAGCGTTACATGGAGCCTTCGCAGCTGCACGTCACCCAGCTTTTGGCGCTCTCCGTCACCTGCGTCCACCGCCTGGTGCCGCCCGACGCCCTTGAGCCGCTTGTGAAGGCCATTGCCAATCATTTTGTCTCGGATCGCTCCTCGCCCGATGCGATCACCATCGGTCTCAACACCATTCGTGAGATCTGTAAGCGACAGCCGTTAGCGATGAATGAGGACCTGCTGAAGGACTTGACGGAGTACAAGTCACAGCGGGGCGACCGCGGCGTCATGATGGCGGCACGTGCACTCATTCAACTTTATCGTGACGTGTACCCCGCGCTGTTACCCGCGAAGCTGCGTGGTGGCCGCGGGGCCGCGGCAACGGAGGAGCATCAAAGACCGGTGTACGGCAAGGAGCCCGTTTACACCGACGTCCCCGGGCTTGAGCTGCTCTACTCCGCCATGGAGGAGGAGGAGGAGGATGAGCACTCCGCGTGCTGCAGCTCTGACGACAGCGACGACAGCAGCGGCACGTGGATGACGGACAGCAGCGACTGTGACCCGGACGACGTGGAGGGAAGCTTCGTCGATGCCTCGGACTGCGATGACAGCGACGCCGGAGACGAGGCTTGCCCACAACTTGTGCTGCTGGAGGAAGCGGCGGCGGAGCCGCCTTTGAAGCCCTCCAGGGCCGAGGAAGACGCGACGAGCGACGTCTTGAGCCTTGGCAGTGCGGAGGAGGCGGGCCAGCGACGCCGCAGCCCGTGTCTGGGCCCCACGGTGTCACTTGACCATGCCCCTCGCAAGCGGTGTCGTGCGGAGAGGGATGCCGCGGACACGGAGGAGGCGGAGGAGGAAGAAGGCGAGGAAGAGGAGACAGAGGAAGAGGAGGTGGAGGAGGGCGAGGAGGAAGAGGAGGAGGAGGAGGAGGAAGAGGGCGAGGAGGAGGAGGAGGGGTGGTTCGAGGACACTGCGATGCACTCCGCGCGGCACGCGCAGCGTGTGCCGTCGGCCTCCTCGCGGCGGGCGTCTGTGTCGTCGACGGCAGCGTCCAAAGTCCCAGCGGCCGCCGAGCGCATTCTCAGCGACGCGGACTTCGAGCGCATACGTCGGCTGCAGGCGCAGAATGGCAGTCACCGTTCACTGCGCGGAAAGCTGCGGGAGCACGAGGCACGGGCGAAGAAGCGGCACGAACTCATTCATGGGGTCTCGGCGGACCTCTCCTCGCACGACATTGAGCACTTTACGCAGAAGCGGAGGGAGGAGGACCGAGAGGAGAAAATCGCACGCGCGCAGGAGGCACGGCGCGCCTCCTCCAAGTTCGAGGCCCGCAAGAAGAAGAAGAGCAAGCTCAACTCCACGCACGCAGAACACGCAAAGCGAGGAAAGCTGTTTAACATGACAAAGCGGTCACGGCGCGTGGGGGCGAAACTGAAGCAGTCCACCACCGAGCGGTCAAACCGCGGCAAGGAGAACAAGAAGAAGGACGTCAAATTCCGCATCCGTCGCGGGTGGAAGGCGTGAGTGTCTGCCTTGGCGTGCGCCACTCCCCCCCCTCCCCCGGCCTCTGTGCGGAGGCCCCGCCGCGGCGTCCAAAAAAGGGGCGGTCGAGGAGAAAATGTTGCACTCGCGCCTGTGCAGGTGCACGCAACACGCACTCCCACAGGCCCAAGAGGAGCGGGGAAGGAGGAGAAGAGGTGCGGGCTGCGGGCTGCAAGTCTCACCGACGAAGCGTGAGATGCAGCAAAAAAAAAAAGTATAAAAGAGAAAAAGGGAAGAAACGGGTAAAGACGCAAACCCACAGTGGCGAAGGGGGGACCATTAATAAAAGAAGAAAAGAAAAAACAAAAAAAACAAAAAAAAACAGTAACCGTGTGAACTTTCTTACGCCCATCCCTCTAAAAAAAAAAAATGGAGGCGTCCCCTACCTGCAGCACCACCGCTACTTCCGGCATTGCGTGCAGGAAAGGTAGCAAGGAGCTATAACTGTAACAAATGGAGTTCAGTATTCCTCTCTCGACTCGTTAACAATTTTTCGTTTGCGTTCTCTCCCTCCCTCTCTTTCCTTCTTTTCTCTTTCTCCCTTCGATGCCGGCAGAAGGCCAATGCCGGCCTGGTCCTTTGTGGAATTATCATGTAGTTTCTTGAGCCCCAAGATGGTGGGTGTCTCGCCTTTCTTCGCGCCGCTTGAGGAGCGTCTCAGCACTGAGCCGCCGAGCTTGTCGAACGCGCTCTGGGAATACATGCACTGCACGAAGCGGGCCATCAATACTCGCATTATTGGCTTCTGCGAGCCAACGCTGAAACAGTGCGTGGATGATCTCGTGCTGTATACAAAGGCGTCCAAGTGGGGAGGCTCTGATGCGGCTTCATTAGAGGAGGTGCTAAGACGGCGGCGCGGGGACGTTGACATCGATTCGTTGCCCTGGGAGCCGCGTGAGTCGTACAGGCAGTGGCTGATCAAGCAGGGAAGAATGAGTGAGCCTTGATTGGG